GCTACAAGTCCGGTAAATCCCAAGCTCCTCTGGAAGAGCTTACCACGGGGTCTTTTCGTTGAGCCCTCCAGTCCCACACAGGGCCGGAAGGCAGGAATTACACTGGCCTGCGGCACAGCGAGTCCTAGCGCGTGCGGAACGGTCTCCATTGCATGTGTTGACTTGAGCCCTGGAGCCAACGCAGGGGTGCAAAAGGCTTGCGTTCACACTGGCGGCGCTGGCTAGTGTCACGGCATGCATTTGTGGTTCATGAAGCTGCCCAGGCACCTCCAATGCTCAACATGACCCGACCGTGGTAATGCCATGCTAGTCTGTACAGCCCGCTTTATTTATAGCCCTTCCGTCTTCCGTCTGCATTTCCTAATCCGTAGGGTCATTTGTGCTTTGGATTGAGCGTGTGCGACTATGTACGACGGCATCTGCGACTAACCACGCATTACGTTTGAAGCAGGGTACAGGTATGCGGCTATGCCGGCCCCTCCAACCTTGAGCTCATGTCAGGACGGGAAGGCCAATGAACCAAGCGGTGACTAGAGGAATCACACTAAATTCAGTGCACTGCCCACGCTGTGCCAGCCAAAACGCGGGGCCGATGTTGAATGCTCACATGCGCTCGCTCGTCAAGAACTCGCCTGCGCCAGTCCTAAACCTTCCATATTATGTTGACAGGCTTGCTTGGATTTGTTGGCAGCCTGTCTACTTGCGCAGTTCTGCACCGTGCCCTCTGGGCAATGTTGCTTCAAGTGACTCAGCAAGCTGCTGATGACGTTCCCCCAAGATGCGCCGAAGCCTTGTCACAACTGCTTGATGCGAGCAGCCCGGTCGTTGGCCACGATGTTTCATGCAGTGTTCTGTAAGACTCTACGCCGATCTGAGCGAATTAGTGTAAACAATCGGCACTCTGCAGTGATGCTCGAACGAAGTTTCGTGCCCTCTATGCTGTCATGACGTGCACAGAACTTTGCAGCAAAACAACTTCTTGAACTCACTGAAGAGCCTGCAATGAATTATTCTGGCAAGCGCCCCCTGCATCAAAAGGAGAGCAGTGTCTTCACCCTGCCTCAGCGGCATGTCTCCCAGAAGTCTTAGGACGAATCGCACAACTGCAGTTGCAGCCTGCTCCAACCCCGAAAACACGGACTTGCAAACCGTGCGCAACCGCGAGCAATTCTGCATGATGCCTGAGGTGGTGTTTCACCTCTTGTGCCGCAGCCTCGATTTCTCGGCTACACGTTGAGATGCTTCACAGGTTTTCATCTTATGCCTACATCAAACTCGATTGCATGCCTTTGCAAACCACGGAATACAGCCCTGTAGTACTCAGAAAGACTCTAGATTCAGTCGTACATACGGCCTGACAGCCGCAGACTGAGCGAACTGAGGGGGCTGCACTTCTTGGGCGCCTCGTCCGGCTCCTCCTGGTCAATACGACGATCCTCATACGGCACCTCACTTGCCACCTTGACTGGTTCTGTACCGAAAACGAGGATGCCATTTTGTCAGTTAATGCTTGCAAAAAGTCTGGCCATGTCAGGTCTATCTTGATAGGTTGATTCCATCTTTGCCATTTCGCGCCGCTCGCTGCTGGCTGCGGCCGCTTTGAGCCACTACACCGGAATTAGATCAGGTTTCAAGACAAGCCTAAACATGGCCCCGCAACGTCCTTGTTCCGAGCAGCGCCGTGAACACATCTATTGCTAGTCAGACAAAGCCTGTTTCAAGGACAAGCGCGTGCTGGAAAGCTTGAGCTCGTTCTGTATGAGCTCCAACAAGAGTTGCCCTCTCTCCTCCGGGCCGTCAGTCGCCAGTATTTGCAGGAGGGGCTCCCAAAAGTCCGAGGAAAGCTCTACGTTGCCGGACAGAGCTCGCAGCAGGCCGCGTGGGACTCGTTGGAGGGCTTCCTGGCCGGAGATTTTCGAGTCCTTCTCCTTCATGGCCTTCAGAAACTGCTCAACATCCTGCAAGGCCCGCTTTTGGCCGCGGTCCACTTGTGTGGCTACCTGCAGCTCCTGCCAAGCAGCAGACAAGACCCAGGTGGACACATTTGGCCCAATCTTTACAAAGAAGTCCTCGCCCACGCGGGGCTCTTCGAATTGCTGGGACAAGTTGTGCAGCTGTCGCCATGATGCCAAAAGATTGTCCCTCCATATCTTCGGCCTTGGACTTTCTGGCATTTCCTCCTCCGGCTGCTCAGGAAGCATCTCCACTTCCGCCTTTCCGGGGAATAAGCGCCCGGCTCGAGGGAAACATGCCCGTGATGGCTTCAAGGGGTCGGGATTGATGCTGTCATGTTGCACTGCTACGATTTTTAGCCGGAGCATTTTGTATCTTTCCCCGCCAAAGCTCCTTCTGCTGATGGGCAACGTAAGATTACGGGCAGCTTCCTTTGTTTGGGCGGGGGTTCACATTAACAGGTCTGAGGGCTGCCTTCGAGTGCACCTGCGACAACGGCTAAAGATGGTTGGAGGATTAGGGAAAAGACTGACAACCGGAAATAAAAAGCTTAAGCCCTCTGCGGCGGCAACTACTGTAACGGCCTGGAGATAGTTGACCTTGTTGCCCTCACTGTCGGTTTCAAACAAGGCAGAGGGATTCAGCAAGCGAAGCAGCCTCACGCGTCCTTGGACCTCGTGGCTCACGACGTACTTGACTCTGTCGCCAGTTTGGCTGCTCACCTCTTGCAGATCTGTGAGATACAGCAGCGAGCCGATGTGGAACAGACGCCGGTCCTTCGGTGCCATCTCTGCATATCTCACACGTCCGCCGGGCAAGGATCGAGTATATGGCACAACGAATCGGCGCGAACCAGAGAGCAAGATATCATCGTACATCTTGATGTATGCAGGGTCGATGATGTTCAATCGCGCTTCCGTGCCCGGCCAGTAGATGCTAGAAAGCGGAAACACGGGTAGAACGGTGGCGTTATCAGCTGCCTCCAAAGCTGCCGATTCAGACACCTCAATCCAGCTGCCCTGCCTCCTCGGAAGTCTGCTCGAACCTCCCGGCACAGAACCGTGAAGGGCTTGAGACGGCAGACCGAAGCTTCGCTCCAAGATTTCTAACCGAGGCTCTAGGCTGCAAGATGTTGCAGAACATGCTGCTTCGAATACCCAGGGCAAAGAGAAGCCAACATCGCCACCTGCAATCTGGATTGTTTGCAGCAATGGACCAAGGTAGAAACTTGCTGGACTTGTACTGACCACCATGCAGCCAGTGCAGCCAAGCTTCAATGCCGGAGGGCGTCTACTCAGCTCATGGCTCCGGCGGCTCCGGTGTATCGACAAGGACATATTGCAAAGGCAATGGAGCACTTCGAAAGGGCAACCGACGACCTATGGCCTACGTGCTTCAAGCCTGTCAGATCAAACAAAGATTACCGAGGGCGCGGCCAAGCCCAAGCTTTTCCGATGGTCGTGCAAGGCGGCCTTACATTATTGAAGTCTGTCACATTTCCCAAAGTTTTCGGTCTGTGCTTTCAGGTACAGCAGTGCCGTGACGGTTAGCCAGTTCGCAGTGGAACAACACCCTGCATGCTGACCACTCTGTGGTCTGACATGCCACTTCCTTCATTGTTGCAACGGCTTTGCGTTTTCTATCAGACGATTGCACCTAAATTTAGGTCGCCGGGAAGCACTTGAGCACAAGGCAAGATTGCAGATCGACCTGCTGCCAGAGCTTGGGGCCGTACTGCAACATCTTGCAAAATTGTGGCTGAGACTCGCGCGATGGTTTCATCATGGTCGTAATCCTCAGCCTAGCAAGCGACACGACGTCAAGGCTACCGCGAAGATACCCCCAACATCAACAAAAAAGGGCTGCAGCCACACCACCTGTAAACCATGCAAAGAGGAGGTGTGGGTCGCAAACATCCTCTCCACGGGCCTTGTCGTTCGGTTCGTATCGCCCACCTGAGCTGTTCGCCCCTCACGGTTCACGGAACGATGATGCACCCAGCCCAAGGCACGGGGGTCATGAATTGTAATGCCTGCATCGTCTAAGACCAGCACCACTTAAAATTTGAACCAGATGCAGTGTTTCGGCAGCGGCACCTCGGCGGGCAAGTTTTGCCTGTCCGGTCATGACTTACACGAAGCAACGCTATGCAGGGACAAACACACACAGGCGCCCGGCACACATAAACTCCGACATTCACCCACTTTTCTACGTTCTGCATTGCTGAGCTGAAAACGGATCAATGTCTGACTACAGGGAATCTTCTTAAGGAGCTTATTCACCACCTTCCGTAGCTCGCACCACAGTTGAAGTGGCAGCATCGCAGCACGATGTTCCATGCTTGCCGAGAGACGGGTTGCAACTGTCGAGTGCAACAACCAGGAGAACCCACTCACTTTGGCGTAGGAATCACGAACCCAACTTTGAAAAGCGGATGACTTCCTCACGCCCTTCCATCGGCCCGCACATGTTCTTCCCCGGAGGCGTCCAAACGTGGGCGAGAGTAACAAAGCTTCATGTACAAAACATGAAGGGTTAGTTGCGGGCACTCCAAGTCAGACGGTGTTCATCCGTGTTCCTGGAATTGTCATCCCACGACAGCGAGGGAGTCCAAAACCGTGCACGAGTCCAGTGAGCGCTTGCCTGAGGCCTCTGCCCAGCCCCTCCACCAAGCGGAGGTGGGCCTGGCCGGCAAAACACCCTCCCAAACGTTTCGTGCGTATACCGGGTTCTGCACAAAACAATTTCCCAGTCCTCATCAGCTAGGCGATGAAGAGAGCCGGAGAACAAAAAGCGAGAGAGAGAGAGAGACAGAGGGAGAGAGAAACCAAAGGGGATTGAAATGCATGTACGCATGTATGTTTCAGGCATGTAGGCAGGTAGGTAGTTAGGTAGGTAAGTGGGTGGGTGGGTGGGTGGGTGGGCAGGCAGGCAGCTGGAGCAATGCAGACAATGTAAGTGCCGTGTGTAATGTGTGCGTATGTTGCGTACGTGTGCATTTTCGGGTGGATGTGTAACATACATGTATGTATGTATGTATGTATGTATGTATGTATGTATGTATGTATGTATGTGTGTGTGTATGTATGTGTGTGT